AGCTCCTGCGAGAGCAGACGGGCACAGTGGTAACAGCAGTTGGATCAGAAGGAAGGGAGCATAGATGGTCTTTGTACTGCTCTTGCAACTTTTCTGAAAGTTTGAAATTATCTGAAAATACAGCACGAAAACAAAAGAAACGGGCCCAGGTCAGAGTTTGCACGCCAGGGCCCAGCCATCTATTGCTTGACCCACGCAGGCTTTAAAAGAATAGGGATTTCTTGCCAGCACTTCAACATTGGGAGACTGTACGTGAATATCTGGGTTGCTGGCTCCCCTTGCAAAGGGAACATTGCAGCCGCACAGGGTGGCACGTCTGCAGGCAGCAGTGGGAGGCAGCTGTGCTCTGGGTTTGGTTCCCACGCGCTCCCTGCCTGCCCTGGGGACCTCAGGCCTGTAATTCCTGAATGTTTCTACTGTGCCTGGTCCGAAGAACCTGACACGGGCCTGGGCCCGCCTGGCTGTCCTGGGGAAGCAGCCACAGGCCTTTAGGGTTTCCTTTGTGGCCTGAGTGCTGGGGACACCTGAGTCTTTCTGACAGCTAGTCTGCCCCGTTTGTCGGATGGGAGGACTTGAGCTCCTACAGGGCAGAGGTGACCACTGGAGCTGACGGAGGGCCGGGACCTGAGTGCTGTGTTTCCAAACGCTGAGCTTGCTCCACACCACACAGCACCTCACACCGTACATTTGCAAAGGACAGTCCCATCCCTCCGTGACATGGTCCCCACAACAGCCCTGTGGGGTAGGCAGGGTGAAGGACACCCCACCTGCTCCTCCATTGCACAGACACAAACGTGCAGGCAAAGGGACCTGTCTAGGGTCACAGGCTGGGCCCACTGACCCAGAACCAAAGTGTCCCTTGCTTTCCTCTAGACTGAACCAGACGCCACGAGAGGGGTTCTGAACTACCAAGAGTATCCCACAGGCATCCCCAGCCTGGTCCCGAGGGTCATCTGACTGGAAGGCCTCAGTACAGGAAAAGGGTCTGACCCGTTTGGTCATGCACAAAAATGAGCATCCAAACGGCAGCTATCCAGAGTTCAGAGCACTGGGGAGGACAGCAATCAGGGAAACCTTCTGGAGTAGGCAGGCTTGTGTAGGCTGAGGGTGGGAGGAGGTGGATGGCGGAGCGAAGGCCGCCAGCCCAGAGAGAGGAAGAAGGGAGAGAGGCACGTGGCTACTTCGATATAATCCCATAGCTGGGGTGACTCTCCCATTTTACAAGTGAGAAAATGGAGATTCAGAAAGGGGAAAAAGCTTGTCCAGGGTCTCCCAGCCAATTAGGGGGGGAGTTGGGATTTGAACTCAGGCCTGTTTCCCCCTCAAGTCCAGGCTCCATCTGAGGAATGGAAATGGAATCAACCCATCATGAGCGCCCCTCTGCTGGCACCATGCTAGGTAAGGCTTCACCTACATCATACCCCAGGACACCCCTATTGTCCTCACAGGTAACCTGAGGCGCAGAGGAGTGAAGCAACATGCCCGAAGCCACGCAGCGTTCATTCCAGAGCCTGGATCCGGCTCAGCTGGTCCAACCCCGCTCTTTCTACAACAGGGCATAGCCTCTCTCCTCACTCTGGCAGGCAGTGCCTGAGCCCCTAAGGTGTGCAGGACCCAGGGGTGGAGTTGGGCATGGCCTCTCCATAGCCTCAGGCTCAAGCTCTTGCCTTCAGACCTGTCTGGGTGAGAGGATGGATGTAGAAGTGCATCGCGGCGGCGTCTGTCCTGGTGTCTGTCCATTTGCATATGATCAGGGATGGATGGGACCCATAAAAGTGAGACTCATTATATCTGTTTGGGTGGCGGGACTGCGGGTGGGTTTTGCTCTTTATTTTATTTGAGATGGTTTGTACAGGGCAAAACTCAATCCGCGTTATGAGGCTGTGCCTGGAATGGGCCCAGCACAGTGTGGGTGTCACAGGCCCACGTGTGAGTCCCAGGCTGTACAGGGGTGACTGCCTGGGGGCCGTGGTGGTCAGAGAAGGCTTCGTGGAGGAGGTGGGCCTGAGCCCATGGGGGGGAGTTAAATGAGCAACATGGAAGGGAGAGGGCCATTTGGGAGGAGGGAACAGCTTCAGATGGAGCTGGACAGAGGGGACTGAACAAGGCGGGTCTGCTGCAGAGGTACAGGGTGGGCGTGGCGAGGTGAATCTATGGCTCTCACAGCGGGGAGGGGCCCTGAATGCACCGTCCATTCAGTGCTTGGGCCTACTTTACCACACTCTCACCCACGACCTGTCCAGGCCCTGCTCACGCACAGTCAGTGGCCGGTAACTCACTACTGTCAGGCAGCCTTTTTTGCCGTAGCATGGGTCTGACGGTTACAGAAGTCTTCTCTTCCCAGTTAGATTGCTTTCTATCGGGCCGACTATGCTGCTTTCTCAGCTTTCTCACTGTTCTTTCCCATGGGCCTCTTGCCTCTCCCCTGCTTCGTACAATTGTGTTTCTAAATGTCAGTGCGGCTGCTCACAGTCAAGTTTCATTTTCTTCAGGCTAGCTCCCCTGCGCTCTGGCGATCTCTGTGGGTCCTCACTCTTGCTTTCTTCCTGCGCCCCCCTCCCTGGGCTTGTGGCCTCTGTGAACTTAATGGGCACACTTGCCATATTGTGACAGGACACAGCTCCAGGGAAGGCCACTAGAAAACTTCCACCAGATAACCAGCAATCCAAGAATCTGCACAAACCAGCTGGGACCTCCTGGCCTCTGTCACAGCCTGCTCCACCTTGTCCCCGAGGACTTCGCGGGAGACCGTGGCTGCTGTCTCCTAACATCCAGAGGCCTAGGGTCTACTCCAAACCTAGGCTTCCAGCCAGCTGTCTAGGTCAAAACCAAAGCAGTTGGTTAAACTTGAGCTTGGGGGCCCCATAATGCCTTTCTTCTCTCAGTGCTCACAGACCACCCACCCCTAAGCTGAGGACCAATGCTGACCCTACTGTGACCCTACTGGTTCACCCAGATTCTTGCTGAGACCAGGAATGCCTTTTGTCTGTCCCTAGTCCCCTGTCCTTCACCACTGAGGGCCGAGTCTCCAAGGGCCTGCAGGCCTCAGCTCTCTCTTAGGATACCTTGGTCTCCTGGGACATTCAGTCCCTTTGGAGATATCCCGCCACCCCTTCCCAGTTATGAGGCTTCTCCTTGACCAGAGGAAGGGACACACCCACCCACTTAGGCCCAGCAGCACCTCCCCTCGACTTCCACTGATTCAAGTGACCTACCTGGCCACTTCTCCCAAGTGTGCTTGCCTCTCTGCTAACTACTTCAGCCCAGAGGTTGGAACCAGGGACGCAGGGCCAGGACTCCAAGCTGTCGTGTGGCCCTAAGTTCCAAGAAGGCATTTGGGGCTTTCCATGATCTCTCAGTCAGGCCCCAGGCCTTTGCACTTGCTGCCCCTCTGCCTAGAATGCTCTTTCTTTTCATTATTCTGGTTTTGGCTCAAATCCAATCTCCTCAGACATGCTTTCCCTGACCAACTAAGATTCCTGTCCCTTTCCTCTGGGTCTCTATCTCATTACCATGGTAGCATGTCTTTGATTTATCATTATCTGAAATTACCTTATAGATTTGCTTGCTTGTTTCTTTACTGTCTCTTGGATTCTAAGCTCCAGGAGGGCAGGGACCTTGTTTGTTCTATTAACTAGTGGCACACAGTAGGTGCTTAATAAATGTTGGTTGAATAAGTTGTGGATAAATAAATGCCCCAGCCCTGACTCATTCCTTTTTCCAACCTGCCCAGTAGATCTGTTGATCTCCCTCTTTGTATTTCCAGGGTGTCCCCACACCCCTCCAGACCCCTGTGCCTTTCACACATTTGCATCTGCTGGGAGGTTCCTTCCTCCACGACTCTGAATGGTGGGCTCCCGAGACCCTTTAATATCCAGCTCAGTTCCACCTCCCCCTTCTGTTTCCTTCTTGGCTTTCTGACACCTCCCTCACTCCTTCACTGCGGAATTAGCTGTTGGCAGGTCTGCTCATCCAAGCCTATCTGGCCTGGGGGCTCCTAAGGCCAGGGGTGGGTTCCAGTGCTCAGCCCAGGGCCAGGCCCAGGGTAGCTGACTAGAGGATGTTTGCAGAGCACTGCTGGACAGTAAGACTTTTGGTGCCCCTGTTGGGGGTGGGGTGTCACCTGGTTGTGCCTCACCTCTGGAGGGTTTTCTTACCTTCTCTCTTGCCCCTGCAGCGGCCAGAATGAGATTTAAAAAAAATGTAAATGTGATCAGCTCACTGCTTAAAACCATTCCAGAGAATCCTTATCATATTCAGAAAATTTCCAGATTCCTGGCCATGGCCCAGAAGGCCTGACACCGGGCCCCCCCACCTCTCCGTCTTGCTCACAGTCCTCCAGCACGGTCCTGCCTTTGGGCCTTTGCACTTGCCATTTCCTCTGCCTGGCATAATTTCCCCCAGATAGTCACAGGCCAGCTCCCACTCATCACTTACACCTCAGCTCACACATGGCCTCCCCTGACCTCCCAAGCTCCCTGCCTCCCATTGTCCTGCTTTATTTTTGTCATATATCTGTCACCCTCTGGAATTTTCCCATTGCGTCTTTCTCCTCACTACACCACCAGCTCCTCGGGGCTGGGGCCTTACCTGCCTCATCCATTGCTGCTTCCCTATCACCCAGCCCAGTGCCTGGCACACAGTAGGTGTCCAAAACGATTGTGACCTGACTGATTTTTTTTCTTATCCCCGATGAGAATGGGCTTCAATGTTCGACTTTTCAGTAAACCTAGTCACTAGAAGATAAGTTCCACAAGGGCAGGGGTTCTTTGTCGATTTTATTCACTGTTATCCCCAGGGCCTAGAGCAGTGCTGAGTGCACAGTAGGCTCAATGCACGTTTGCTGGGGAAAAGGGAGGAAGCTCTCATTTGGGGCTGAGTTGGCCAGAGATCTGGAGCCAAGAACCAATGTGTGAGGCCCTCCAGCCTCATGAAGGGGGCAGTTCTCAAGAAGCAGGAATTGGCTATGGGAGTGAGCCTACTGGTGGGCTGCAGCTCACCTGACAGCAGCATGGGGTCCTTGTCCACGGACTTGCGCACCTGGTCAGACTCCCCTGTCAAGGAGCTTTCATCAATCTTGAGGTCATTGCCCTGGATGAAGAGGCCGTCGGCAGGGAGGAGGTCGCCTGGTGGGAGGAAGGGCAAGGGAGTCAGCAGGGTCTCAGGTGGCTGGAGAAGCTGGAATATTCCCTTAAAGATGTAATTACAAGGGCAGGTTCACCACTGGGGATTGACTGCCTAGAGGTCCCAGGGTGCAGGAACCAAGATGGTGCCCATCACAGGCCAATAGGCCGTTGAAGATGAGCCACGGTAAAGGGCCCAATGCCTGGAGGGCTGAGGTTGGGCCAACAACAATCTCAGCTTAAGCAGGCATGCTCTTTAGTTTATTAAGTGCTTCTCTTGGCCTGGTGTGGATTTGGGGCCCACTTTTCTCAAGCATTCATTCTCTGGTCTCTGCTGTGATTTGGGGAATTCTTTTGGAAGGGATTAGTCTATCTTGGCGAGTTGGAGGATCCTTTAAAGACAGGCACATTATCAGGAAACCAAGCCCCTGAGAGCTGAATGAGGAGGGGTACTCCTATCTCTCCCCCATCTTCTGCCTCTACTTACCCAGGACATATGTTGTCTAAACCCCTTTGCACCACCAGTGTGCTTACCTTCTCCATGGCAGTGACACAGGCTTAGAATGTTTGCTCATCCATGTCCACTCCCCATAATACCTTCTGTAGCCTCACAGTCATCCATCCACAGCCAAATCAGGGATGGGAAATGGATTTCATCTCATAAACACATTCTCATAAACAGTGTTAGGGTCCTGGAGTGTTATGTTGAGAAGGCTTCTGAGGCTATACCTAGGCCCTGAGCTGTGATTGATTAGTAATGTCTGTGATGGGTGGAGGTTTTGAGAGTGGTGGCACATGTGCCATGTATTTGCCATTTCTGATTTCAATGGATTGTGGAATCCTACCCCTTCCAGGAAGTAGCCTTCTACTTCCGAAGGATCTCAGGTGACATTTTGACTTGGGATCAGTTTTCAAGGACCCACCCCCTTCCCTGGGCCAGCCTCTTTGGGTCCCGTTGGCCTGTCCCACCTCTGCTCAGACTCCAGCTCTGGCACCCGGCTCTGTGGCTGGGACACATACCATATTTGATTTGGGCGATGTCTCCAACCACGATCTCGGCCACAGGGATCTGGACCACCTGGTTAGCCCGGACCACCGTGAACTTCTGCTCCTGCTCGATGCGGCTCTGCAGGCCCCGGAACTGCTTCTCTTTGCTCCAGTCATTGAAGGCTGTGACCAGGACCACACAGATGACTGAGAGGAGGATGGCAGCCCCCTCGATCCAGCCTGCCTCTGCCTCCCCTTCATCTTCTGCCCCGGCCTGGGCTGCTGCACATCCTGCAGAGAGCAGAAGGAAGCAGGTAGGGTGGGGTCAGCCGGCAGAAGGGGCCTCATGGGCCTGGATTTAAATCCCAGCTCTGCCAAGTAAAAAAGGCTGATAATCAGATGATCATGATCTATTTATTCAGTGTGCCTGGGTGCCAACCCCTGTGCAAAGTGTTTTACACACATGATCTCAGAGGCACTCACTCTGCCCATTTCACGGATGTGGAAGTTGAGGTTTCTTAGAGAGGCCAAGTGACTAGCCTAAGCTAGGAAATGCAAGTGGAGAACTAGGGTGTCTAGCTTTAGAGCCTACCATCTTAGCCACTTTAGTCTTCTGTCTTTGTTCTAGCTGTGAGATTGTGGGTAAATGACTTCACCTCTCTGAACCTCAGTTTTCTCATCTGTGAAATGGACAGAATATTCTTTACCTTGGGGACCTATTGTAAGGGTTGAAATTTAATAAGGTAAGCTTCATGGTGTCTTTAGCACAGACCTGGCACACAGGAGACGTCTGATTCATGAGAAAAGAGAAAAAGATGGAATAGGATGAAGTCAATAAATATTACATGTGTATTAGGGTCTAAAACACAGTTTTTTTTTTTTAAGATTTT